TAAGCTTAGCTAGTTTACAGGCATGCCACTGAAACAAAGGAAACAACTAATTCAAATAAACGTAACATAGTAAAAGATCCCAACTGGCATGAGGCAGACCAGTTGGCTATTTACAAAGCATGACCAAGGATTTGAACTCGGGACTACCAAGAAACAAATCCAGCAAGTGGCAGGGTGGAGGCCTTGAACTTATTTATTTTATTTATTTATTTAACATTTCTTTATACACGGTTAAAAATTGTACTGAACCACTCGGCCACGCTGCCTCCACGATTCTTGGTGCTGCAATTGGTAAAGGCTTCGAATTCAAAGAAACTAACAAGGGAACCTACGACTTTTAAAACTGAATTTTTAGGAATTGGAAAAGTAAAAGGTATTTCCAAAACTGTAGTGTGATCGCCCGGAAACGAAACGCGAAAAATAGATCCTGCTTACATGAAGTATCTCCGAGTAATATTGTAACCCTCAGCTGTGCCGAATGTTCGTGGGCTTCGTCGGATTCGAAACTTCGATCAAATCACATCAGAGTTCTGCTATCTGGGCTGCAGTAACCAATTTATTCACGACAGGACATCTTTGGAATACCGAATAGAAGGCTTCACGTCACCAATGTAACATGAGCGCGGAGTTGCGAAAATCTGCTGGCTCAGATATCAAGCGACTGCAGGAGATGGTCAAGCGGCTGGAGGAACAGAATGCGCAACTGAAAAATACTGATAACCGGCGAACACCGAACAAAGGTGAAGACAACATGGTGAAAGTCAAGTTAAATTTGGATGATGTCCCTTTATTGGATTTAAACGCAATGGTAGAAGAAGATGAAGATACTTGGTTAGTAAAGACAGTAAACAGAAAGGTTTTTTGGTCCCGGCCAGCTGTTTATTTTAGTTTCCTCGAACCTCATTTTATTTCTCTTCGCCTTTGAACTCGAACTGACCTTACGTACATGTATATATATAGCTACAATAAGTAGTTTATAAAGGGTAAATCGACACGTGAAAGGTCTTCTAAACGACAGGCGTCATTTCTTGTATCTCAAGTAACTTATAATACAGTGGCAGCCTTTAATTTCTGTTATTAAGAAACGAATGGGCTTATGGAATCTTCACGCTCATTGAAGTACAGTTCAATATTGTCAATTACTTAAAAACAAGCCACTTCAGGACTCTAGACGTCACCACCATGACGTGTGACTTCAGAGTTTGTTAAATGCTGAGGGCATGGAGCACCCTTAACACTTTTGTTATATACAGCAGAACTTCTGAATACGATCCTCATTGTCCCTTGAAACATTTCAAGTTAATCAGGGGCAAAAATTTAGAATGTACATATTATTATTAATTAAGAGCCTGTTTGGATTGAACAAGTTTCCCCACCCCTACCACAGTGAGTCACCCCTCATGCCACATTATTATGACAATTGTTTCCCACTTGTGAAGTGGAAGATCTGCACAAAAAAATTGATAGTAATGACGCAGTTCTATGGAGATCTAATTATGGTCTGTGATTAGTTGTTGCTTATAGTATAAGGAGCAGCCAATCTTAGATAGTGTGTATGGGATCTCTGTAGAGCTTCATCATCAATATGGAATTTCCCGGGTCGAATCTTAAATCTCTTTTGCATGCAGGAAGAATTGAGGGTGAGAATGTCTTTCTGCAGGAAACGGTCAAAATCATTTGAGTATTTATGCATACTTCTGAAAATTAAAAATATGAATCCTGACCATTTTACATGACTGCCAAACTTCGTCCTCAGCAGTTCACTATTCAAAGTGAGCCTTAAAACACCCACCTCTGCCCTTAAGGTGTTAATATAAAGAGTCTTGTATCTTCAAAAGTATTTCGACCTTGACGTATATAGACACCTTTGTACTAACGATACTCAGCTTTGTCCCTAAGGTGTCAATATAAAATGGCCTGTATATAAAAAAAATATATTTTGGCCCTAAGGTGCCAATATTAAAGAAGCCTGTATTTAAAAAATATTTGGAGTTGAACTTGTTTTACATGATTATATCAAAACTGGCTTGATCCATCTGGCATTTAAATAAGTTGCCAACAATTTATTTAAATGAAGTCAACAACATACATGAAGTGTTTTCTTGTTTCTCTTCACTGTTCAACATGATTGTCTCCATCAAAAAATTGTATTTATTAGTGAAAAGAGTTAGTAGCAACTAGCAAAACTATGTAACAGGCAGAATAGTGAGTACATTACTGTGGATATTTTTGTAGCCATAATTATGTATTTTTCTATATGTGCACAGTTGTATGTGTTGGAAGCCTGCCAAATAAATGATGTATTCATGTACTTTTCATTTGAAGCGAGAAATTAATCCAATCATCCATGAGGATTTGTTTAAAGTCTTAATTTGCTGCGAGTTACATGTATGTGCAACCAATATTGACTGTATGCTTCATTTTTGCAGTCCTGCTGTAAAATGTATCAGCATTGTATGACATCAATTGGTTGTCATGGTAAGGATTACCATGACAACTAATTAACCAACCAATTATTATATTTTGTTCCAATACCAATCAGGTTATATGTGTCCCCAAAACACCCACCATCAGCAGAACAGAAAAAGATCAGTCCCTATAAATATCTGAAGGACAGTTTAGATGTACCTGAACTCAATAAAGTGAGAGGATCTCTTTTGGCAAAACTGGAGTCAATTGCAGCACAGGAAGGTGAGTTTGTATCCTAGATTATAAATCAAAACAGTCTGAGATGTGTTTTAGTTCAGTATATTCTGCAGAGGTGCTGTGGCCTCGTGGTTAGTGCACTGGTCTCCTGATCAAGCAGTCCGGGTTCGAGCCCTGGCTGGGGACATTGTGTTGTGTTCTTGGGCAAGACACTTTACTCTTACAGTGCCTCTCTCCACCCAGGTGTATA